TCCAGATGTTACATTTTCATCATAACTAGAACGTATTCATTTAATGGACTTTTTTAATAGAAATAAAAAATGACTTAATGTTTCATCCTTTGTTGTTTAGGTATGGTCACCAATAGAATCAGGTGTGGAACACATTCATCCGAGTTGCCATATATCTAGTAATAAACAGAAAAATTGTTACTGTTATTTGTCAGAATTCGATTTATTGATTTATCCTGATTAATGATGAATTATGATCGCAGTAATCGTGGTTAATTGTGTCTATCCTGTGATTGATCAGACTGACAGCCCTCATTTCTAAACAAATATTTACTTAATGCAAGAGTAAAATTTATTGGCTGTGCAAACACGAGCATCCACTGCAAAATCTCTTTATTTTCATTAAAATGGTTTGTGGTACTTAAGAGACTTTCCTTTAATTTTTACGATGCTCCTGTCAGGTCTTAATCAGTGATAATTGGTTGTTAACTTTATCTTCAGATGACAGGTGTGAATTGGAAGGTTAAAAAGAGACAGGTCAAAAAAAGGCAGCGTCAGATCCTGTGTAAACACAGAGAACATTCCTCTGCCAAAGAGCCGGATAAATAAAGTGTGAGACAGGTGTTAGTGCAGATAGAGAACAGTGTGAGGTGACTTCTCTCCAGCGGAGGCTGTGAGACGCTCTGTCACTCACGGCCATTTGTTATGTTGGCAGCTATTGTCCGCTCGGCTGTGCTGCCGCAGCTGTCCGCTCCTGCTTAGCAGCGGCCGAGTGACAGAGGGAGACGGAGAGAGTTATGGGGAGTTGGAGGTTGTTGCCGGCGAAAAGGATCGATAAGGTTCTACACCATCTCAAGGTGATGGAGCTTTATGTCTTGCTTTTTGACTCAGGTGCTGCAGCACAAAGAGCCGCAGCACTGACTGCAGGTCTGTAGTTGTATTATTAGCTTTCATGACTGTGATCACTTACAGCAGTGACTTCAGATTAAAACCTTCTTCTCTGACCAGGTGTTGTTTGTTTTTCCTCAACAAGGTTGAGAAGTTGTTCATTGGTGAAAGAACACAAGGTGGTGGATCTTGGGAAATGTTTTTCTTTCAGTTCAAATCAGCTCCTTTGTTCGTGACACTATTTATCACCCATTCCTCAATCAACAGTGAGTGGGTTTTATAATTATTAGTTTACACTGTAAATAGTTAATCTACATCTCTATAAATAGCTCTGCTGGGAGCATAGAGAACCATCACAGTTAAGCAGCACACTTTAAAACAGAGGTTCTCAACCACTGGGCTGCGGACCATAGCATGTTAAAAGTGAAACAGACGATTTGCCTAAGCGGAATGTTCCGAAATTAATAAAAGACGCAATGAAAACTCTCGCTTTTCTTTTCAACATTCCTTCTTTTTAAAGCTAAATTCCCTGCGGTGAACACACTCAAAGAAAACTGTCCTGTATTTAAACAACAACACTGACGCAAAGGGCGCTCTCTGCAGCCCGCAGGGAGCCAGGGTATTGCTTTTGGTGTTCAATAAAAAAAAAGTGAAATAAGTAGAGAGTGATGATGAAATAAACACACATTATAAGCTGTCTTGTTGCTTGTTTACTTTGACAAACCAAAAAACTATAATAATTAAAAATACTATTTATATTGATCACAACACATTTAGTGTGAGTTTTAATCTTTGTTGTGCCAAAAACAAAAATAAATATTTTTCTAATTGGATTTTCCTGAAAAGTTTCGACTTTGTCATTTTATTGAGTGTACGTGTGTGAAGTGACAATTACGAAGGGGTATTTAACAGACGCAGTATTTTCTATCAGTGACAATGACAAACACACACACACCACCCAGTTTACCATAACAATGAGGGGTCTGATCTGGCAGATGATGTTAGATGCTGAGAGATAAAACTGACACGGAAGAAAAGTCCAAAACAGACGAGCGGAGGAGAATAATGGAAATATTCTGGTGGGCATTAGCAGCAGAGGGGGGAGAGGAGAAGGTGGCAAAGGCGAGAAGGTTGCCCCGGAGGGAGGTGAAAGAGACAACCTTGAGATAATCTGCAGTGTGGGCAGAGGGGGGGTAACCTTATCTGGACGCGAAAGCAGACGGAGCAAGGAGAGGATATGAAAACAGAGGAGGAGAAGGAGGAGGCTGAGATAATAAAGTTAATAAGGCTGGAGTTTTTAAAGGGAGGAAAGAGATGCTGAAAAAAAGGCAGGACAACAACTGTGTCATCTTCTATTTACCGAAGCCGATGAGGCCGAGGGTTTCGCCGCGTATGCGGGCGGCACCGGACGCAACTTCACGGATTTGCTCCACGCTCTGGACCCTCGTGCCCTCCCGGAGAGCCTGGTAGAGCCAGGTGTTTCGTCGATAAAGGTTGAGGATGTGGCACAAGGTGGAGTCGGCCGTCTCCTCCACGGCTGCTGAGGGAATGTTGCAGACTGCAATTCCTAGAAAGAAAAGAAAAAAAAATTAAACTAAGGAAACTGAGTTACTGATACTGAAAATGACTAGTGGACTGAGCTGTTGGCTGAAAAGTTCCTCCACTGAACACAAAGTGAGTATTTAGACTTGACAGGACAAAATTCAAGCCAAATCAAATTCAACTTCAGTTGAAATAGCAAGTTAAATTTTTTAAATCAGAATTATTAAATCAGGTTACATTTAAACAACAAGATTTGAATATGAATATTTAAATAGAAAAAACATGTTTTTATTTGATTGATTGATTGTTTGATTTTCTTATAATATCTTCCCCATCACAAAGGTAATTTTTTTACTTATATCTATTTTTTTTTTTTTTACAGTAAAGCACTTCTGTCTGTTCTGCCCTTCTGCCCTCAGCTTCACTCTGTATCTCACAGTTACAGCACTGTTGTGTCTGGACGTCAGAATTATGACAAAAAAAAAAAAAAAAAAAACACTGCTCAATCAGTGGAGCCTTTTCTTCTCACTCTGTCAAAACAGTGCCACCTTCTCCAGGCACCATAGCTTTTGACTCCTGCGTCGTCAGTGAGTGGGTGGCAGTTCAGAGCAGTATCTCGTACTGGCAGGGAAAAGGCAGCTTTGTCAACCGTGAGCGTTGTTTGAGCCACTGGCCAGATGATCAGTAGGAAGAGTCAGGTTTTTTCTCTTCACGGTCTTGTTCACCACTGAATTGTTTTTTAATCCAGCTTTTATAAACTATGTTTTAAATCTATATCTAGAATCAAACTGTAAACATTTGGGTGGTTTTTATGAACCCACACTGCACTGACTGAATGAATCAACTCCCTCAGGACTCAAACCTTGATTAAGGAGACAGTGAAACACACAGCCTGGTACAAAGACATCAATGAAATGATACTAGAATCTGTCTTATTCATTAATGAGAAGAACAGAGCAGAAGACATTTACTCATAACCTTATAACCCGATGAGAATAGGCAAAGAAAATTCACAGAGAACAAAATAATAATTCTTAAAACTTGGATTTCAACCAACATTTAAATAAATAAAATAAAAAATAAAAAAAACATCAACAGTGTGATGTACAGGATTTAAATGAGCATAAGATGTGGCATATTTTCCATGAAATGCGATGGTATGAAATGTTACTTGTAGCTTAGTGACTTTTGTATATGTAGGTGATGTTCACATACAATTTTCATATGGAGGTAATGCTGTATTTAAATAAATAAATAAATAAATAAATAAATATATGGTATTGACAGTGGTGGCTTAGTGGTTAAGGAAGCGGATCTTCAGATTTGAGTCCACCAGCTGCCAAGTTACCACTGAGGTGCTCTGATCATGGCTCCGTCCCCACTCACTGCTGCCCACTGTTCACTTTGGTGATGGGTTAAAAGCAGAGGTCACATTTGGTTGTGTGCAGTGGTGTGTCACAGTGACAAGGAGTTCACTTTCCTTATTGTCACACTACCCTGACATTTTTAGCCATATTATAACTATTTTTTTGTCATACAAATATATGGCCTAGAGCTGGACCACTGCCAAAATCTTATAATTTCCCACACATTAAACTTCCACATTTCCATCAGTGATAACTGGTTCAGAGGTGTGTGTGTGTGTGTGTGTGTGTGTGTTTTCATACCCAGCTCTCCAGCTGCTTTGATATCAATGTTGTCGTAGCCGCTGCCGATGCGGATGATGATGCGCAGGGCTTTAAACTTTTCCAGGTCCTCTCTGGTCAGTGTGATGGTGTGATACATCATGGCTCCCACTGCCTCATTCAGCACCTGCAGACACACACACACACACACACACACAGAGGTTATGTGGTTGACTTTTCATACAGAAGTGTTTTCTGTCTCTGTGTTGCTGATATGATTTCCATTCATTTGTGCAGACTAAGGAACATGGGAGAACATATTAGACTATTTGTGTTCGTGACAACCCGTGACTATCACAAGACCGCATTCCATATGAAAATTAGCCCTAGAAATCACATGTTCTTCCATGACTGTGGACAGAAGGCCCGGGAATGTGAGATTTCACACCCAGGGGTCCGGCTGCAGACATCACGTGGTTGCTCCAGCCACTGCCACACACTGTCCTTTTACAGACCTCAACCTTAAGTGGAAACAAGTCATTATATTGTCTCACTGCTGCACAATCATCACAATTACACTCAGACCCTCAGGGTCTGGACAACTGGCTGCACAGAAAGGTCAGGGCAGCGGCAACAACAGCGTGAACCTACAACAGTACCGTAGTGGATTACATATATCTTTGTAATGGTCTCTGACCCAGTTTGGGTGAATGAATCAAAATCAGACACTAGTGAAGTGTTACCTTAAACCTCCTTGGTTCAGTTCTCCAAAGAATGTTTTTATTTATCTCTGTTTATTATATCAGTCTTTTCTCTCTCTCAGCACATCTCTATGACCTTAACTACAAATCCCTGCTGTTGTACATCTTTGATATCATTTTTATATTTTTTCATGCATGCAAATTTACGCATCACATACATTTGGCACAGACTGAAAGCACAGATTGCACTTCTTTGTGCCAAATGTGTCATTTTAAATGCTTTTCCAGGGCTGTGCCAAAAACACAATTAACAACTTTTTTTTATTTGCGATTATTTAAAACACTATACCTGCTGAAATTTTTAATACTAGAAGTTAGAAATATATAATGTCCACACAATGGAGGCAAAATTTAACACATCAAAAATGACAGAGCAAAGTCATCACAACCGAGACAAGAGAATCATCCAAATTTAAGTCAAAGGCGTTTGTGATTTCCTACTGAGGGACGTGAACAGAAAATGTACCGAGGTTAAAAAAAAGACCTTGATGGGCTGTCACTGTGAGAAACTGCTCCTCGTCACTTGCCATGAACAAGGTGACCTGGCCTGTGATTCAGCCTGATGTGAATCTTCCCTCTCGGTGGTGTCACCCATAGCCTCTATATCACAGCTGTGCATTTGGTTTTAATGTGATTAGGAGAATACATGTGGATTTCCATGCAGCTTTTATCAGAGCTGTGTCCTGACCCGGACTTCCCCGATAGGAATCCAAGGTTAAGAGGACCATTAAAATATTTGCACAAGCTGGAGCTGGGCTCAGCCTGGAGATCTATGTTAGTTTTTCAGCAGAAAGAGTCTGAAGAGTGAGTCTGGATGTAGTTTAATGTGATGGAAACTCTGACTGCGTCTATACCCTCTGCTCCATTTCTATCATTTCTGATGATGCCAGAGCTTTTCTTCCCGTGCCAGAGAGACCTCCCCTTTTGGCCTGACCGAGTGTCTGTGAGAGTGTGTGTGTGTGTCAGTGAGAGAGAGAATACACAGTTGCAGAGAAGTAAAAACTCAACTGCTACATGATCTGTTCACTTTCTGATTCTGTGGCTCGCTGTGGAGAGATTTTATGGCTATGAAATCATCCCAGCTCAGAGCAGTGTAGATGTACGGAGGATGACAGCTGGTTGTGACACTGAAGAGAGACTTTCTGTACTTGGCAGAAGGACATGCACTTCAAAAAATTTCTTTTTAGCATGTAGCGGTTCTTAGATGAAGAATTTTGTCATTAGCACAAGGGAAAAAAAAACCCTCAGTGAATCATGTCAACAACTTTAGAAAGTGTTGTTTATGAACAACAAATTGAGATATGTCCACAGAACAGAAAGGGCTGTTAAATAAATGAGTAAATATTTATTGATTTTTTTTAAGTGAAGTTAGTTTGTTTAAAACTGTCCTTTTGTGCCAAGCTACACATGAGAAAACAAAAAGACTCTTCTTTAATTGTGCTAATAAAGCTACTAAAAGAAGGGCTGGAAATAACAAGAGACCGATTTTGTGAGTAAAAACAAAACATTAGAAACAGTCAGTAAAAACTTTATGCTCAAAGGTCCAGAACTTTAAAACAGCAAAAATGTTCACTCCATCAGCAGTTTTTTTTTCTTTCGGTTTTTCCTTACAAATGTGCCCATTTGTTGTCATCAATCATTAGATAATTATGCAGTGAATTTAAATTTTTTTTTTGCATTCTGGTTTAGTATGTTCGACAAAACAAGCAATGTAATTACAGAGAACCCATGAATCATTGGCCTGTGTTTTTGGCAGCCTGGAGCTAAACACCACAATCGGACAATTAGAGTCAGGCAGTGTTGAGTTTCAGGCAGAAAGATGACACTACAGTCTCTTTCCTATTGAGATAAGTGAGTTTACCAGGGATTATTTGAGCAGAATTAATCCACTAGAAAAAGGCAATTAACATTATTTACACTGCCAGCGTTTGCTCTGCCCTCTGGTGTTGTTTTAACCCCTGCATCAGTCTGCATGATGTGATGAGCAACAGTATAAGATCTCATTGACTGTGACAGTGGATGGTGCTTTATGTCTCTCTCATCAAGGAGTTGAGTTAAATATTTTTTAGGACGTCCTTGAACAAAAACAAATCCGAAGTATTAAAAAATATTGGCAAGAGTGGCTGTTTATTCCCTGTATTATATTTGTCGGAGCAGTGGTTCTCAAACACCGGGACGTGTACCAATTCCTATTGGACTTCTTTATCTGAGAAGTGACAAAAGGAGCCTCATGTGAAAACACTGGAGGTCAGCTGCTGTGTGACAGATTTGGCCTCGCTCAGATTATATTGAACCCTTTGGCCTCAACTGTTGGTTTTCTGTTTGCATTCCATTTCTTTCAGATGGAAAAAAATTGCAAGAGTAGCAGTTGGCAGACCTGCTATAACTCCCATAATCCATCCTTGACTTGACTTCACTATAAGTTTCTAGATTGTCAGATGTGAAGCGGCAGCTGGTGTCTGCACTGATGGCGTCATTCTGAGCTCCCAACAATCACTGGCAGTGCGTCTATTCTTTCGTGCTGCAGAAGCAGGAGATTGGACATTTTCAATCTACATCTCCCCTCTGGGTATCCAGGCTGCAAGTTATTACTGTGAACTGCTGAATATGCTGGTGAGGTGAACATTACAATCATGTTTTTCCTGATAAGGCGGTGTTAAAACAAACAAAAAGCTACCCCGCTTCCCTGTCCTCCCTGCTGCCCAAGGTACTTGATTGAATTGATCTCTATGCAAATGCCTCAGTTTTAATATGTCCCATTTTCATAAAAAAAAAAAAAAAAAAAAAAAAACGGGACAAGAAAGATGTTGCAGCTCTCACTCCGTCTGCAGATGAGAGATAGCACTCGGGTGATACCCATCTCTGTGGCCATATATTGTTTTGCAGCCACGGCACAGCAGAAAAAGCAATAAAGAGCCTCTACAAGCCAATGTAATTACACTACATCCCCGCTGTACAAGACTCTCCATTAGAACAATGGCACTGACACAGACACAGCTCTCCGTGCCACAAAGTGACATTAAATCATAATGAAGCCACTATATTTTCACTGGCAAGAGCATATGGGGCTAATATAACACACTTCATATACGAGTACAGAGATAGAAATACAAAGAGGCAGACGTGAGTGAGGAGCCTGCTCTATTGCCCCATCAACTTTTATGTTGTTCTGATGTGAAGAAGCGCTTCAGGGAAGTGAGACAAAAATCTCAACTTGTAAGCGTTTTTTTTTTTTACCTTTTCGTGTATTTCTTGTGTGGATTGGGCGTCGCAGAATGCAACCGTGGCCAGGTCTTTGAGGATAGGCATCTCGACGGTGCAATCGCGTCCGTCCAGGAGCGCCACCAGGGGGCGTGGATGCATTGGCCCATTCATGATTTGGGGCCGAATACCTGAATAAAAACAGAAGAATGGTGAGATAATGGAAGGGGTTTCAGACAGTCTTTGGTTGACAGTTTATTGCAGAGGTTTTGCTCCACCGCTTTTTTAGTGTATCACTTTACGTTAAAGGTACAAATAAAAAACACAATATTTAACCTACATAATGCAGGAATCAAAAGCCCAGGTGAGACAAAAACAGATGGTCAATACAAGTAAGAAACCATGATGCTTTATGGCTAGAATTTTACAACAAACATTGAGAGTGTCCACCCTCAGCCAAGACTCAAAAGCAGGAAACTGAAAATACAACATTAAAAAAAGAGTAATGGAATGCAATTTATTGAATTATTGAAGCAGGATTATATACAACAAATATAACAATAAAACAATTAACTGCTGCCCCAAAAGGACAAAGAAATGAGGAGCTACATGTCGTTAAAGCTAACAAAACCATTCAAAACATTAAAAAAAGTCAAATAATCCCAGCCTGCTAGCTGGAGTCAATGCAACACTGATTTCCTGCCACAGAAACAAAACCTCAAGATAATTATCTGCTCTCTGTGAGAGCATCTAAGTGCTTATGTGTATACATGTTCTGATTAAGATATGGTAGCAAACAGGGCTTCTCTCCTCTAACAAGCGCTGCTCAATAAATCAATGCACCTACTCAAGACTGGATTAGACCACAGCCTCCATTACAGAAACCCTCTCTGACTCATGGCTCCCAAACAGTTACATCACACTGAGAAAGTCTCACACACAACATATGCAAGTGCAACTGGAGGAAAACATTCATTACGACTGAATGCTTCCTCAGGATGGAACAAAAAGTGTTTTTGTTCCACTTCAAGGTTTGTTTGATAAACAGGACGAAGATACGACGATTGGGGTTTTGCCTCCAAATGTATTTGGATTTGTCAAACTAATTTCGAAACACACTGAGGCATGTTGGGACAGACGGAAGTAAGACGGAAAAGTTTATTACAGACACATTCTGATTGGCTGGTAAAAGGAGCATCCAGCAAAGGCTTTACTGCAGCCAGTGTTACTGATACAGTTACAAGCCTGGACCAAACTGGAACAAACCCACACATCTGCACTTCACTCTCTCTCGTCCCGTCTCCACTTCTTCATCCAAACAGAGAGTCGAGACCCAGCTGACGTGGCTTCTCATCAACTAACCTTCTGTAACATCAAACTGACGAGTCACCTTCAGAGGACAATCACCAGTCCTGCTTCGGACAATCTTAACAGAGTAGCATCGGTAATTACACTTGCTCTGCGTAGAGGTTAAGAAGACAGCAGCCACAGCCACCCACACACATACGCTAAGTGTCGTCACCTTAACACCACACAGGTCGTGCAGTCACCAGATATGGATCTGTCCAACGCTGGCAAATCCAAAACCTAAACATCACTCAACATTCCCTATGGATGCTGCCCTGTGATCACGTGACATCATTTTCTTATCTGGTGTTTGCTCTCACACATTCCACTTCATATCTATTCATATAATATCAAAAATTCTACATGTTGACCTCACCCTGGATGGTCTCACTGACATGCAGGTGTGCGCTTGTGTGTATTTGCATACTCTTAAAAAAGATATCTCGAGGACTACGTTGACGTCAGACTCCGGGGTTTTGTGATTAGTAGGATGTTGGCGTAGAGAGGTAGGTGGGCTTGTTACATGACATGCTCTGTGGGATTAGAGCAGCTGAGAAGGCTGATTAGAGCAGATGAGGGTGAGATTAGGCAGATGAGGAAGTTGGTGAGTGGCTAACTCTGAAGACAGCACAACGATGGAGAACAAACAGGTGGAATGAGGAGGAAAGGACGTAGTCGTAGGAAAAGAGAGAGAAGTGAAATTAAAATGTAAAGCAAGCGTCAATAAAAACAGACTAAACGCTGTCTGTTAGTCTGAAATGTTCCCAGGAGACACATCAGAGAAGGAGAGGAAGAGGATGAATAGAGAGAGAGGGTATGAACAAATGACAGGAAAGGGAGAGAGAGAGAGAGAGAGGGGCTGCCTGTTAGAAAGCAAGCAGACCAGCAGAACCAGCAGCCCAGCCTCTCGGGGCAGGGGGAGGATGGGAGCGAGGTGTCGTCTCCCCCTGTGCCTTCCACTTGTTGTCATGGTGATCACTTAACAGGCTTTGGCTGCCAGTTTCAATGCGCTTTATTTTTGGCACCGCTGGCATCTGCACCCAGAGTTGAGGCCAGAGGTGCAAACACCCGTATCCTCCTCACTCACGGTGGCAAAGGGCAGAGGAGATGTTGTCTTTCCTGACAGACAGAAAGACAGACAGAAACCCCGCACCTCCTCACCTACAGCCCACTGCCACCACAGCTTCCGCGTCTACTTATCACACTCCCTGTTCAAGATGGATGACATGTCTGTGGCAAGGTTGATGCGTGGCAACATGCCTGTCTGTGCCACATCTGCAACTGACAGCTTGTTGAATATTAATGAAGCAGTTGGTAAAGAGTGAGCAGAAACCATAACACCAAACTGACACAAGTGTTTGGAGAAGCTCGCGCTAATGCAGTTAATGCACGGCTGCTTCAGAGACAGCGAACACATGAGGGGCCTAAAGACCCAGACGAACACCAGGGAAATAGTGACTGGGTTTCATCTATTACCAAAGCAACAACCACCAGAAATCTTCAACCGGATCCTCCCTTCTCTATGTGTTCTTTGGGTTTAAGGCAGGGATCTGAAACTCAAATGAGCTGAGAGCTGGATGTGGGGATTTCATGGGCTGGGAATGGCACCAGGACCACAAGTTTGAAGTGTTTGAATTAAAGAGTAGACCTTTTTTAACATACCTTGAAGTAAGAAAACAGTTAATATGTTTTATACTTTTGGCCAAACATTACCAGGACTGAAAAAGTTCTTTTTTTTATTATTTACTTTGCATAATTCCAGAATATTTAGATATGGACAGAAATTCCATGCAGATGGTGGTAAATATAAGGTGTGGGTGCAATTCATGTGAAGGGTAATTTAAGAAAGGGAAATTGTTACATTTCAATGAGCTGCACACAAAAAAATATCCTCTGATTATTAGAAGAATAAAAATAAAAATAACATTTTTATTTGGTTCCTCTAACTGGTAGAACTTTTTGTCCAACATACTCTACTGAGGAGTGGGTGTTCAGGTGAGCGAAGCAGCAGATGAGGCAGGGGAAGAGCAGAGCGGCTGGCAGCCTTCGTCGAACCCTCAGGCAGAAGTAAGACAGCCTGAACTTCATGAGTCATCCGCTGCCTTTCTCTCCGTCTCTCTGACCTTTCAGTCTCTTACTCTTTCAATCTCCCTCTCACAGACTCTTCCGCTGTTACCTTTCATGTTATCGCCTGCCTTGTTTATTTGGCTGTTGCTGTATCTCTCCGCGTTCAATTGTATCTTCTGACACTGCCCGGTTCTCTGTTTATTGGCCATTTTATCTTCCCCTGCATCCTTTATTTGTCTTTGCGCATAAATTTCTTGCTCCACCCTTCTCATTGTTCCTCAGCTGTCCTCTTCTTCTCACCTCCACGTCCTTCCTTCTCATTGTGACATTCTCTTTTCCTGCCCCATGGTTATGCCTCTCCAGCAGCTGGGGTGTATATTTGCGCATGTGTGTGTACGTATGTGTCCTCCTGTGTGACAGATTGATTCTCACTCTGCTCATTTTGATGGAAAGGAGATGATGTATTCACCGAGTGGAAGCAAGAAGGTGACGGACAATGCACCCCCCGTGGTAAACTGACAGCATGTACATCACTCCAGTCTTAAACTGAAGCCTGGGTTTCTCTTTGGCTGCAAAATACTAGTTCTGTGCTGTTTACCCAAGATACAAATTGTAATGTACTTTCTGAGGGATAAAATTGGTGATTTTTTAAAGCCCTGCATCAATATTATGTGAATTTAAAGTGGTTGTTTTTGTCATAATTTAAATATAATATACCAGTTAAAGAAGCACATTTCTATTGCCGTCCAGTTGCTTTAACAAAATATTTGAAGGTAACACGGAGTTCTAAAACTGTAAGTGGTTCACTCCATGTTCCAGGTTTTTATGCCACCAGCTGGATTAAAGAAGCGCTGCCAGCCTGACAATGAGTAATTAATCAGGCGGAGATGAGAGGACACACGGTGGATAAACATAAACACAGTCAAAGAAAATGGCAAGCAACAAATGGGACAGCACCGCAGGACGGTAGAGCTCTGTCGGGGATTTAGATCGTCGGGCATCAGTTGGTATATGTTCAAATGTATTCAGGACATATATATACCCTGGATAATTAGGTGTTCTCGCAACCACTTTAAAAGTTTTTTGCTGTGCTCAATCAAGACACAATCATATTTCACCTTTGATGATGTTGTAGCTTCTACTACAATTAGATGAATGGTTTTCTCGTCCTTGTTGATAATTATTTGTTAAATGACATGCCATCTGTTACCCTTAGAAACACGGAGGGAGTCTGACCTTGAATCATCGCTATTGTATTATAGCTATGCTCTTGTTGTAAAAAGACAGGGGAGTATTACCTTGAAGAATTAACACATTTAAATTAAAGGGTTTTAAGTAACAATTGTTTTGAAATCTCACTGTGTTTAAAAGTGTTAAACACTGAGCAGTAAAATACAGAACATTTTCTTCTGAATTAAAAAGCACTAAAAATTAAAAAAAGAAAAATTGGGTCATGAAAACTAACTAAAAAATCTAGGTTTTTTATGCGCTTACTCAGTCTTCAGTATTTCAATTCCCATTATTCCTGTGCAGCAGCGCTTCTCATTTATCAACAATGACAGTAGGGTTCGAATAATAATGATGGATCCAGGAGCCAATCTCAGAGAAAATGCATACAGCATCAGGTTTTCTTTCACTCCATACATTGTGTTCTTGTATTGTTTTACTTCATGTTTTACACCAGGTGGTTACTCACCCCCACACTGATACTGGTTTAAATACCATTACTATAGAGAAAAATCTGTATGGAAACTGAACTCAGCCTGGGCCCCGGGCTGCAGCACTGGAGCCAGCAACACTTAGTCAGAGTCTGGCAGCAGGACGCAGCAGAGCGGCGCACCAGGAGATGAGGCCAGAGTTTCCATTATGTGGTGAGGGGAGCTAACATTCTCTTCCTACCACTGGCCTCGGCTGCTGGTGTAATGTTCCCTCCAGTGATGCAAAGAGGCAGCAGAGAGAAAAGGGAAACACAGTTTTGTAGTGGTCAGGACAGGGTGGAAAAAAATGGGGAGAGAGAGGATCAGGAAGGAAAAGAAGTCACTCAAGTGATAACCGGAGACCAGACAAGCCCTCTACCATACTATCATCATCTGCTGCCACCGGTTACCTAGCAACCCCAAGCTGCGGTTTGCAGGTGGCTCTTTCCTGACAGCAAGGCTGGGCGGGGGCTGCTGCGACTGCTGCTGACCGCTAACAGTTACAGCCATTTAATGTGGCACCTTTAGCAGCGTTGCACTGAAAACAGAGCCACGTTTCCTCCATGGTTACCACCAGCAGCCAGTCAAACAGGACATGGCTGTGTGCAGGAGATAGGCCATTTCCACTGCTGCAACAGAGTAAATTTGAAATCTGTTCTGTTTCTACTCAATCACTGCCAGGACTGTACAAATCAATTCATCAACTATTTATCGTAAAGAGAAATTCACAAAATGTTCAGGTCAACGGCTCCTCCTAGCAAATTATCACTAAATACCAGTTTTTGATGTCTGAAATGGCAGACATCACTGGCAGTAGATCATATCAGCTGTGGCTGATTAACAAAAAGTCTCCAAGTCATTTGCCCAGTCGCCAAATTGAAACTTGGCAGCATTTTTTCTTATATGCTGCAACTTGGTTTCTGTGCTAAGCCAAAGATAATTTGCTAAAGAAAAGAGGGGAGAAAAAAAATCCTCTGACATCATTTGACATCTGTATGTAGACTCAGGAACCAAGCAGCGCCAATATAGGACGAGCAAAGTGAAATTATGGTCAAAACACACTGCTGAAGTCCTGTATAAGACGTTCCATATTGTACATTCATCATGAACCTAGTGTGTTATTTGGCCTCTAACAGCTTCAGCGTACACAAAACACCCAAATTACCACGTTAACATTCTCTTCATCTCTCTTTCCTTCAGATTCTGTCTTCCATGATACAGCAGTATACTGTTTAAAATGTATATCTTGGCGGGGGAATGGGAACATAAGAATGTAGTGTCTGTGAATGTAAGTATTCTGGCAGATGAGGGAGAGACATTTCTTTTGTTATGATAACTAAACAGTTTATTGTTATAAACCAGTAGTTCAGAGAATTCAGTTCCACTCTTGAATCATAATGGTTTAATGCACTTTATCAATGTATTAAATTTGAACCAAAACTGTCTAAATTGTTGAGAAGGAAATCAAAACCACAGCTTTGACCAGAGTGTGTAATCAGCAGTTCCTGCTGCAGTGGCACAATGAACTGTGCACCAAACTATGGATATACAGCACCAAATGAATAAGAACTCTCAGTCACAACCTGGGCAGTCAGCCAGCAGCTGGACTGTGGTGCAAAAAAAGGCCTGGCATTATACACAGATGTGCCATCGGGTCAAACAACACTTTGTTTTCATCCCTGTCGTTCTGCAGCCTTTTCACATGGCACCCTGCCAGCGTCTGAACTTCTGGTTTAGGGAAGCTGAATTACTCACTTACTATTTCACTCACTCTTACCCACACACATACCATAAACACACACTCTTCATCTGCCTGTGACAATGCCAGGTCACTGCATGAGTTACATGGTGAAGGGTGAGTTGGGGGTGGTGGGTATAAGCACCCTTTGTTTGCAATCGTCTCTCTGCACTTCCCTCCCTTAACTTTGCCAAAAGTAACACACAAAGGCCACTTGTCCTGTGCTGCGAGTGCCCCACCCCTGTCACCACCCGTCTACCCTCCACACCAAGCCATCCCCTGCCAAGAAAATGAGTGCACGCCTGTTTTAAATGGTACCCACTGTGTGCACAGGCGGACTGGGCTCCTACTCTACCATGGGACAAAAGCGGGTGTCAGCAGCATCCATGGCACGACCACACTGGTTCACCCCACCCACCCCTCTCTCTTTTCCCGCTCTTTTATTCCCTTGCGTTGCCCCCAGCTACGGAACGCTCCAAGAGCCTGAAAATCACAGAGGAAGAGAAAGACGGAGCCAAGTGCAGCAGGATGGGGTGGACCTCAAAATGACAACACTGTTGGACTCCTCTCCTACCTATCAAAGCACGCACACACACACACACACACACACACACACCCACGAGAAACACTTTTTTTCCCTCCTCCTTTCTCCCACCCATCTCCATCCACCCACCTCCCACATGCCACACTTTATTAGACATCCAGTAAAGAAAACAGGAAACATGCTGCTTGCCTGGAAAATGTTGTCTCCACATTCTTCGGCTTAAAAACTATGCATCGCAGCAAAAGCTGAAGATGATGGAGATGAGAATGGGCAAAAAGGGGGAAAAAACAGCAGTGGAAGACCCTCCACAATACTCCAATGAGGGTGCTCCCCCTCTCTTCTCCTCCTCCAACACTCCTTTAACCCCCCTCCCCCCTCCACTGGAGTTGCTCCTCTTGATCTGGACCTTTTGGTGAGGGGAAGGGGATTTCTGCAGAGCTAGCGCTCACTAAGACCCCAGCTGCATCTCCAGTCCATGCCTCCTAGGACCAGGAAGAAAAGCAACATACGCCTGCAGCGCCTCTCTGTGCACACTCACACACACACACAGACACACACACACACAGCGACGTGCAGGCTGCTGATCGGGTGGTAGTGGGCTGGAAGAAGGCGGAGGTGATGCTTTTGTCCTTTAATTTTAATCTGTCAGACGGAAAACGCTGTGGCCGCGAAGCGCGATGGCTGGAATCTCACTCTCTGCTGTTTCCTCTGCTTTTAGCTGCGCAACATCTATTCACTCTGCGTCTCACTCTGCCTCAATGTTTCCCTCTCCCTCTCTCTCTGTCTGTCCCTTCAGTTCTTTTCCCCAGGCTTTGTCCTGAGCGGATAATAACCCAGAGGAGGGGCAGAAAAGAGAAACTGCAGCAGGAAAAAAAGTGTCAAAAATCAAAAAATGCCAGCTCAAACATGTGGAGCTAAGCTCTCTGGACTCGCACAATTTACTCCACGGCTGCGCTCACTTCATAGGATCTGCACACACACACACACACACACACACATACACACAAACACACTCCAGCTCATTCCCTCCTCCCTTTTTCCTCCCTCTTCCACCCATTTTAATGTTTTATTTCTGATCTGGACTCCACTGTGCTTTAAAAACACCTCCTCGTCGTCATTCTCTGGCTCTTGACTATTTGGATTGCTATAATGCTTTCACACTTTCTATCTAGATCCTCCACCCCAAACAAATCACAATCACACAAACAGTTTAATTTAGAGTCACACTCTTCAATCTTCGTGGGAATATCTATCACGCAAGTATGCACACACACACACTCACAGACATCTTTTAATTAGAGGAACAATGTAAACATTCAAGTCACTCCAGCAGTAACGTTACAGTTGTGGAGTTGGCTGTATTTTTCGCACAATCGGAGAAGTCATCAGAACACTGTGTTAAGTTCACAGTTTGGTCCCTGAAGGAGAGGGAGCCAACTGACAGATCGCTCTGCTGAGTGACTGCGAGGACGAGCGAGTTTAGAATAACAATGTAATCACAGCCTCCTTGCAACAGTGCAGTGTGGATGGAGCAAAGCGAGGCACATCCACACGAATAAACACACACATATGCACACACATCGCCGGCTGCACGACAGGCGCAACCAATAGACAAAGAAGCCAGCACGGTCACACGACAGAACTGATTATCACTGACAGTAGAGTGGAAAGGTGGAACTGCCTGAGCAGTTTCAGCTCAAGGGATGAGTAGCTGGATGTTTCCATCTCAGTGTGAGGCCATTTTTGTTTTTATTTGTTTAGTTGTATATTAATTGCGGGTAGGTCTGTCCATGGGACCACAGCTGTCTTCACTGAAGAGGAAACGCGGCATGTCAGCTGAGCCACTGTCTGCAGCCATGACACATCTGAGGGAGTGTGGCCATCAAAGGCAACGGCCCCCACTTCCTGCCAGCCAGCTTAAAACACACACGTCCACGTACGCTTCACAGAGTGTGAGGATATGGCTGCCCCTCTGATCTCTGTCTCTTCAATAACATTAGAGTATGTGTAGTAAAAGGGAGGGAGGGAGGGGAGTTGAGATGAAACTTGGCCGAGCTTTGAGTTATAATACACCAGCCTGTCACTTTAACACCACGGACAGCAGTCAGTGATTGATTGCTGGATCAGACAAGTCAGTCAGTCTATTTAACTGTTTATTTACACTACCTTCCACAGTGGGCAACCTGACCCCAGAATCTGTAAAAAAAATAGCTAACGAATAAAGGTGATTAATTAAAGCCATCACATCTGTAAAATGAAGTCAGATTTTAGCTGTGATCTAACTTTTGTTTGATGGTCAGCTTTGATGAAACCACACCGTAACACTAAAATTAGCTTGGCTGATTTGAGTTCTAGCTCTATCAAATGACTGCTCAGTAAAGACACTGCAAGTTCTCCAGATGTGAAGGTCGGTTATTTACAGGTTCTTTCCAAAAGCCCAAAACATAAAAAACTGAAATTTGGATTATATAGGCCACTGGCAGACAAGGACTAGCTTCAACTATGGGACCATTATCAGGGGAAAGAGATATAGATATAATAAAGATAAATTAGCACAAGTTTCAGAATTTCTTTTAAACTTGCAAATTCCTCTAAGGGGGATTGTTGTTCCCTGGGGCGCTGTGGTGATCTTTACAGCAGGTGGCAAGTTGGTTGATCACCTCCTGATTACTGCAGATCGAAGTGAATCACCATGGAAATCACAGCTGGACAGAGGAAGTGAGTAACAGGCAGCTACATGCCTGCTGTAGTACATGTGCTCATGACTCCAGTAGCTGCGGTGCATGTAGCTACACATTGGAAGGAGGTGAGTAAACACTAATAAGAACAGATTGGCAGAGCAGGCCCCCCTCCTCTAACTCACACCAACTCACACCCTTCCTCTTTCAGATGTAGAACAGCCGGACTTGGGTCTAAACCCGTAGTGAAGGCTACATCTGTTCGCCCCTCAGCCACTACTGCCAGAAATGCAACCTCGCCTTTAAGCACACACCCAGTTAACGCATGACTTTCATGTAGAAAGCCAAGTCAGTTCAGTAAACCTCCCCCTGAGCTATAAGGACTCCTACACTTTTGCAACTTTTTACTATAAATTAATTAGGGATCATATGTTCATTCATGTCACAATCTGGGTAGAAAAAAACTCCAACAAACATTTTTTTAGCATTCAGATGCTTCAAAAACAGTGGCCATGCTATAGAAAAATATTTCAAAAAAGGAAAGGAAAGTGAACTCCTTGTCACTGTGACACAGCACACCACTGCACACAACCAAATGTGACCTCTGCTTTTAACCCATCACCAAAGTGAACAGTGGGCAGCTTTAAGGGCCCGGGGAGCAGTGAGTGGGGACGGAGCCATGATCAGAGCACCTCAGTGGTAACTTGCCCCCGCAGCCACCAAATATTTGATAAGGAAAACGTCTTCTGTTTTGTAAATGTTTTAGTATTTTTTGTGAGGTAGTAGTTTTGTATATCTTGTTTTGAAAAACTTTTAGAAAAAAAACCCAAACATTAAAGTAGCACTTTTCACTAAATAAGAATCAGACTTTTGGGGGGATAATAATGAAATGTTAAGCACTTTCAAACCTTCCATGTTAACTTAGGCAAATAAAAATGCCTATTATAATTCCCTTTGGTTGAGTTTACTTCAGCAAATACGCTCATTCAAACAGTGAGGCTTAGAAGTAGTCTCTGGGCGATCGCAAAAAAATTCTACAGTGGTTGGTTTGTGGTGGAAACACGATCCGACCTCAGTCTGACCCAACCACAAGGTGTTGTTTGAGCCTGAATGATCCCATAGTCTCGTAAGCTTTTGCAAAACTGATTTTGAGTGTGTGTAATCCTTAGAAACTCAGAGCCAAAACCAGAAACTGAAGCCTGTGCAAAACAGGACTGGAAACATAGTATTATTAGGAAGCGATTTAGACCGAAACAAACAAACAATAACCAACACAATATAACCACAGGCCTTTTAACTGTCTTTGAACTGTATGTCAGTAAACATGCCTTAAAAACCAACGCCGGCATTTTGATACGTGTGTGATTACTTAATACTCTTCTAAGACCTTCTGCCCAAAGAGTTTGTCCAAAGGTGGACTTGAAGCCTGTGTTTGCTCATTTTTAAGACTGTGTCTGTTTGACAAACAGTCACTGCACAACATAGACACACACTGGATACAGCTCCATAAAACATCCAAAAACTCCTCTGACATTTTCTTTGTCCTTTATGCTCCGTGACTCAGAGGGATTTAGGAGTAAAATGGCTGATCATTAATGGAGTGGACATGCTCAGTGTGACAAGAGGTGGAGAGAGGGTGGGAATCGAGGGGCAGTCGTGGTGTAGCTTTTTGTAAGCAAGTCTAATTTTCCTTTGGTGAATATTTATTCAGGGAGGCCCAGGTTTATCCACTGAGAGGCACCTGCAAAGGCAAGAGCCAATGTAAATACTGCGGCACATATTCTGATATTCACATATACACACAGGCACAAACATCAGTGCCCACCCTCTCAGCAGCAGGTCCAGATAACGACCCTGAGTCAACACTGCTTCTCTACTTTTGTCTATGCCAGGGTGCCTTCGTTACAATTGATGAGGAACTACTACAAGAGAGCATTTAAAAAGTGAGGTGATGAACAAAGAAAGATTCAAATAGAAAATAAAAAAAAAGAAGTTGCAAGAAAGAATCACAGGAAAAGGGAAAAAAGGAAAGAAAGAACTAAATTACAACATGAGAATGCAAATGAGTGTTATTTCATTTAGGGGGAACCAGGGAGGGAAGGCAGGGTTTTATTTTCCAGGCAGCAACAGCCCCTCTGTGGTCTCTGGATCAGCCGCAGCAGCAGTGAAAAACAGCCAGAAAAAGTGGTCATTCTCACTCTGCCTTATTATTCAGGCAAAAAACTTTAAACAAAAAAGATAGAAAGAAAGAAAAAGAACAAACAGAAAATTCCACTCTTCTCAGAGGGTGGTGAAGACATAAAACAAAATTATATTTACATCAGTGCCACTGTGGCTGCCATCGCCACCTTTTGCTACTTCCATCACAGCCAACCCCCCCCTCCCTCTACTCTCCCATTGACAATGAGACAATAAAGTTCCTTGAAATTGGCAATCTCTCCCCCCCCCCCAAAAAAAACCCAGCTTGACCAGAAATTCTGGTGCCACCACTGTCACCTCCCCCATCTCCAAAACAGAATGGGAAAGTGAATGTGTGCGAGAGGGAAAGGGTTCAAGGGAGCCAGCTGCAGGTGGTCTCCAGATGTGGTGGCTATGGGGACGGGCCACTCTGGCGCTGTTAAGAGTGACTTAGTGCTCCCTCCTTCCCCTTTTTCCCTGCATTGCTCCTCCTTCTCAATCAGTGACAGGAGCCATCTGGCCTGGCAGAGAGTGGAGATGCAGCAGAGAGTCCCATCCTCCCAAGTGTGGCCCCTACATGCCACTCAGCAGAGTGCATGGGTAAATAAAGTGCATGCAGACACACACGTTCAAACCTCCTCGCACATTTTCATCTGAGCCGTCACATGGCTATTAACCCATCCGAGCCACGGCCCAGCTGTGCTCCATTACGATAAATACACAAGGGTCGTGGGGTCTTGTCAGCCAGGATTCAGCCTTCAAATATTAGGTGTCCACTTACAGCCTTTTAAAGCTCACTTCGCTAAGGACTTCATCATCCTAACTCTACCTCGTTTATCATCCCACACCCGTGGAGAAAAACTCCACCTTCTGTCCCATCCTTCTCCCTACATCATGGCAGATGATATTTCACACCATCTCACAAAGCATAGACCCCTTTTTTGTCTGTTACCCACAAGCCACTGTAACTGGAGTTTGCACTTGGGTCACTTGATACGACACCTGGAACACCTGACACCTATAGGCTTCACTGACGCTGTCCTATTTCTCGCGTGCCGTCGCCAATTTACATCTCCTTAGAAGCAGTAGTTACACTGTGGTTGAGCATTCTCAAGAGCCCCA